TTTTCTCCTCCTGTGGAGAGTAAATAAATACGTGAACCACTACGGAGCAGGTGACCTGTGGTGAGGCCAGCTCTAACAGTGCTGACCCAGCCCTGCTATCTTGGGAGTTTTACCGAAGAATTAACACCAGGACAGGTGTTGGCAACAAGGTGACTTGAGATGCTTTTGAAAGGACTTGCAGCAGTTTCTCTGTACGTCACTGGTGTGCTAGACTGGTCTCCTGTCTGAGGTGGGTGGGTCTGTGAGAAGGGATCTCCTTTGAAAATGGGTACCAAACAGGTCAGAGACCAAGATGTCAGAGCCCTCTTTGCACATTGTGAATTCCCTGCAAACCCAACCAGTCCCTCTAGTTCAGTGGTTCTCCACCTTCCTAGTGCTGCGACCCTTGAGTACAGTTCCTCATGTTGTTATGACCCCCAACCATCAAATTATTTTCGTTGCTACTTCATAACTGTAACTTTGCTACTGTTATGAATTGGGGGACCCCTGTGAAAGGGTCGTTTGACCCCCAAAGGGGTCACGACCCACAGGTTGAGAACTGCTGCTCTAGTTAATCCCAGCTAGAGCAGCCCAGCCCCGAGGACTGTCCCTTAGGATTTCCCAGCTGAAAGCTTTAGGGACGCACACTGCCACGTCTCTCTGCTCAGGGTGACTCGTGGGTTCGAATTGCTCACTTCTCAGCCTCCCAGAGCTTTAAACCCTGCAACACGTACCCCCTGAGGCTTCCTTGAACTCACTGCATTTGTGTGTGTCTGTGTGTCTATATACAACATGGTCTTGGAAGTCCACAGACCTAGCCGTATTAAAAGCCTACACTCACTGACATCGGCGTGAACTTGGCCCTTTAAAAGCAGTTTCTGGGAAAGCTGTAGGTCTGGGGAGGGGCTGCGCAGGCTCCTGCCGTCAGGGGAGCAGGAAGCTGATCATATGTGATGGTTGCTGGATTAGGTAACAGCCCCCGCTGGTTGAAATTGGATCTTGGAGGATGAGTGTTAACATCTCTGGTGTCCTGGAGAAAGGGTCATTTGAGTCTTGCATGGTGCCGCAGAGATAAAAAGGCGCTTTTAAATAATCATTTTGTCTCGACTCACCACAGTGCTGGCTTCTAGCAACAAATAGGTGGTATCAGTTCTGCTTACACATATCACCCTTTCATTTATTTATTTAATGTTGCCGGGGGTTTGTTTGTTTGTTTCTGTAACAGGCTAGCTGAAGAGTTTCAGTATCCGTCCACCCCAACCCCCATGTTTCTAGTGGCACAGGAGGAATTGCCACGCTCCGGGCAGAGGAGGCGCCCGCACAGTTTTCCTTATTTGCCCGTTCGGAAGTCCACGCAGCCGGACAATTCCATGTAGATTAATGGAAGAGGAGAGCTGTCCTTCTTTTCTTCTGTCTATGTTTCCTCTCCTTTTGGCCCTCACACATCTCTGACTTATTTTCTGTTTTCAGAATGATTTGAGTACAATCGAAAGACTGGCATTGGAAGAGGAGGTGTTTTCTTGTCGTTCTGAAATGTTTCATTCTTTCCCTCGCATCTCCAGCTGGGGCATTTCTTGGGGTGCAAACAAACCAAGCGACGTGTGTGTCTCTCCCGCCACTCGTTGGCTGGACCCATTTAGAAACCAATGGCTTAGATGAAGGGGTTTTCTTGTGGTTAGCTGCCATCGAGTTGATGCTGACCCCTGAGACCCGTGGCTGCCCAGTCCGTTCTGACTCCGCTCCTGGCAGTGCCGTGGGTCTGAGTAGCACCGCCCTGGAGGGCTGCAGAGACGGACTCTTCACTGGGGCACACGGCCTCAGCTTTCTCTGGAAGAGCAGCAGACGGCCCTGAACCGCCGGACTTAAGGCTAGCACCTCAGGGCTCGTCCCACAGTGCCCCCAGGGCTTCCGCGACAAGGTCAGGTGAAAGCAGGGTGGCCCTGCAGAGCGCCCTCTGAGCACCCCATCTGACAGAAGGCTCCCACCAGTGTCCCACAGAACCCTCAGCAACTCCCTTGTTACTCGATTCCAAGCTCCCTAGATCCCAAACCAAGACCTTCCTTGGGTAGGTGGTTGGAGCGTGTATGGATAGCTGTGCTTCACAGGGATGATTTTGTGAAGTGGAGCCTGGGTGTGGATAAGACGTAGCTTAGCGTGTGCAGGGAAGAGAAGGCATTCCCAGGGAGAGATGAGTATGGGAATGGTGCAGGCCTCCTCTCCGCAGGAGCGCCAACCAGACACGAGGTGTGCGAAAGCCTCGCTCTCCGCCTGCCTTGCATCTCTCTAACAATCCCAACCCTGCCAGAGGGAGCTAACTGCGTGGAGGGGGGCTCAGCTCACACGTGCTGACTGAGGCCAACACCGTTCTTTCTCTTTGACACGACTACCAGTGTTGAGATCAAAAATGATGCAGAGCCTGCCAGCACTGGGCCTGCCCGCCCGCGGGACGGATTGGGGAGTAAACCAGAGGGCCCACCCAAGTCAGCTCACATGTGACAGGCCCCCCCACCTCACAGAACTGTCCTGTCGGCCACCGTGGCCGATCCATGGGGCGAACGGTGCCCCAGCGCAGTTTCTTACATGCCCACACGAAAGTGAAATGATTAAGTTCCTTTGTGAAGAAGAGTTCACGAGTGATGTCTGTTTTCCTCTTTTTCCTTTTTAAATGACCCAGAAACAGTCCTTGTGGGGAAAGCAATCTAATTCATTAAATAAAGGGAACCGCGCAGGAACCCTGCAGAGAAATGCATTTACCACGAGGGATCCTCAGGATGGGGGAGGTGGCCCAGGTGGGGACCCAGGCCACCCCTTGGAGAGTCAGATGCCTTCTGCAGCATTGGTGGTGGGTGACTGGGAATGCGGGTTTGCTGGGGTCACGTGCTGTCTAGTTGATGTCCGCTCCTGTTGACCCCTGGTGACAGTCACACTGTGCTAGAAGGTTCCCTTCGTTGTGATCCCTAAGGGAGTGGTTCTCCAAGTCTTCCCATGGGACTGCTGGGCCCTCATGCATCATGCCACCTTGGTGGCTCCTAGCCGTTCACCTCACTGCTCGCATCTGGCACAAGAACACTCTCTGACTGTCCTAAGGAAACCTTTGTACTTTCCTCAGAGGACTTGGGAGCTGTGAGTAAATAAATTCAAATGAAGTGCCTCAATCCTCCTCGTTCAGAGTCGGACAAAGGGCAGTGGCCTGTCTTCTGGGTCACAAAGCACCCTCCACCAAGGATCCCTGAGCCCCGCCCTGTCATCAGGGTGCAGGGTTCCCCTTGCTGTCGGGAAGAGCCAGGCATGCTGGGGCTCACGTGTGGAAGTGGGCAGCCTGGCTCCCTGCAGCCTCCCTTCCTTCAGGCTCACCCCTCCCACTTCACCCAGGAGCGAGCCGTGTGTGTGTGTGTGTGTGTGTGTGTGTGTGTGTGTGTGTGTTCCCTGCCACACGCCTCAGGGCTGTCTCCTGTTTCCTGAAAACACCGCCAGAGCTTTCCTTTCAGAACAGGATCTGGGCTTCTCCCTGGACAACTTTCAAAGTGGGTTCTTGTCACGCCTCTGAGCGGCAGGAGCAGGTGGGCACAGCCAGCAGGGATACTGGCCTTTTACACACGATGGACTGCCCGGGAGGTGAAGATGTGCCCTCTTGTTGGACTCACAGCCACCGTCGCTGTCACGGCTGGGCGGAGCTGCCCTGTCGGGCTGGGAGACAACTGGAGCGGCAGGCGGCGGCCCCAGAGCTGTAAGGCAGCTGTGGCTCCTCTCACTACCCTGGGCCAGCCCCTTCCCGCCACGGCGCACACTGCCTGGTGCCTTCTCCCCTGCCTTCAAATGCACCTTTGCCTCTCGGCCGACCCACAAACAAGCAACAATGTTTGCATCTTCTCTGAAAATCGTTTTAATAGATCATTCTTTTCATGCTCCGTCTCCACAAAGACCTAAGCGCTGGCAATGAAACTGCAAGCAGGGGCCGGGGGGCCGGGTAAATTATGGGATGAGAGTAAAGAGAACCTTCACCCGGTCTTCTCAGTCACGCAGTCCCGGCCCGTCCATATTATCTCCACTGTACATGGCCACAGGCAGCCCTGGTGGCATAATGGGTTACACATTGGGCTGCTAACTAGGTCAGCGGTTCAAAACCACCAGCCACTCTGCATGAGAAAGATGGGACTTTCTGCTCCTGTCAGAGTTATGGTCTGGGTAACCCACAAGGGTAGTCTAGGTCGTCCTTTGGGCTCCCTATGAGTTGGCGTCCACTTGGTGACAGTGAGTTTGATTTCTTTTATTTTCTTTCATTATAAATGGCCACCGTGTGCGACTAAAAGGGGCTTCTCCTCCGCCCACCCCAAAAAAGGCCCCTGGTGAAAGAGACCCTGCCGCATTCCCAATAGGACAGAGCCCTAGAACTCATGCCACTAATATCGATGCTTGAAGAGTGATCCCCCTGCTGCAGGGCCAGTTTGCCTGCCTGTTGGATCTGCTCGCCACCACCCCTCCACTGTCTCCTGGTCCAGGAGAAAGGCTTTGAGATTTGACACCAGATTAACTGGATCTACCTGACTTAGGTTAATTGGGAACTGGAAGTTTAGGCCGATCAAACCCTATAAAGAAACCCAATGACCATCTAAGGCACAGACGCTTAGAAATCTGAAAATTAACGTTCCTGGGGTGGGAGTGGGGGGTTCTGGAGGGGGCTTGAGGCTTGAGGGGGAGGGAGGGAATAAAGGGGACAGATATCCAGGATTTCAAGAAGAAAGGAAATGTCTTGTAACCAATTGTAGGAATTGTACAATACTGCTTGAGGTGATTGCACTATGAAATGTTATATTTGTATCTGTAAGAGCTCCCAATAAACTGATTTAGCAACAAAAAAATAGACAAAAAATTCTCACCCTTTCAAACCGCTCCATTTCTCAAAGGCCATATCGCAAGTGCATTGGACACTTGTTTAGCCAAGTAGCACTCTTGTTTTGGGTTATTCTTTTGCTCCCTATGTTTACCATTAAAACCCTCCTTTCTCTGTCTATTTTCTACAGTTTTGAGTATCCGGGGAGCCCAGGAAGAGGAGCCGACAGATCCCCAGCTGATGCGCCTGGACAACATGCTGTTAGCAGAAGGGGTCGCGGGTCCCGAGAAGGGTGGAGGGTCAGCGGCGGCAGCAGCGGCGGCGGCAGCCTCTGGAGGGGCCGGTTCAGACAACTCCGTGGAGCATTCTGACTACAGAGCCAAACTCTCACAGATCAGACAAATCTACCACACGGAGCTGGAGAAGTATGAGCAGGTAACCACAGCTCACGTTGTCTCTACGCCAGGGACACCAGGGTGGGGGGAACGGACTGCTCAGGAACTTGTCTGGAGGTCAAGGGGAGCCAACCTTCCCTAGATGTTAGTTAGCATCACTGTGCCTATTGTTTCCTCCCAGCCACAGAGCCTCTCAGAACTTGGGACCCATAGGTTCTGACCTCGGAGACTGGGCTTACTGATGAAACCAACCAACCAACCAGTTGCCATCACATCAACCCCAACTGGTGATAAAAGCTTTGACAATATTTGTGAAGTTGCAAATGGACAAGGGAACGACAAGTGATCCAAAATCAGTGGCAAGGAGGTGTGAGAGGCCTGGTAGGGATTGTTCAAGGGCAACCTAGCCGAGAGAAATTACTGAAACCCAAATCAAAACTGAGCATGGTCATGGGACAAGAGGAAAGTAAAAGAAACTAGAGGAAAGAAATAGGATGCAAAGTGCATTCATACAGGTCTAAATACAGGCATGTACATATGTTAATATATTTATATATGATGATGGGGAAATAGATCTACATGCATATATTTATAGGTTTAGTATTAAGGCAGCAGATGGACATTGGGCCTCCACTTAAATACTTTCACAATACAAGAACACTTTGTTCTATTAAATTGGCATTCCATGATGCACACCTTCCTGACACGATCGCTGAAGACAAATGTGTGCATAAGCAAATATGGTGAAGCAAGTTGATGGAGCCTGGCTATCAAAAGATATAGTGTCTGAGGTCTTAAAGGCTTGAAGGTAAACAAGTGGCCATCTAGCTCAGAAGCAACAAAGCCCACATGGAAGAAGCACATCAGCCTGTGTGACCGCGAGATGTCGAAGGAATCAGGTATCAGGCATCCAAGAACAAAAAAATCATATCATTGTGAATGAGGGGGAGTGCAGATTGGAGACCCAAAGCCCATCTGTAGGTAATGGGACATCCCCTTACAGAAGAATCTCAGGGAGGAGACAAGCCAGTCAGGGTGCAGTGTAGCAATGATGAAACATACCTCTAGTTATTAAATGCTTCCTCCCTTCACTATCATGATCCCAATTCTACCTTAAAAATCCAGCTAGACCAGAGGATGTACACTGGTACAGATAGAAACTGGAAACACAGGGAATCCAGGACAGATGATCCCTTCAGGACCCGTGGTGAGCGTGGTGATACCAAAGGGTGGAGGGAGGGTGGGGTAGAAACGGGGAACCGATTATAAGTATCTACATATAACCTCCTCCCTGGGGGATGGACAACAGGGAAGTGGGTGAAGGGTGACATCAGACAGTGTAAGATATGACAAAATAATAATAATGTATAAATTATCCAGGGTTCATGAGGGAAGGAGGAGGGGGAGGGAGTGGAAAAAATGAGGAGCTGGTACCAAGGGCTTAAGTAGAAAGCAAATGTTTTGAGGGCAACAAATGTACAAATGCGCTTGACATACAATGGATGTATGTATGGATTGTGATAAGAGTTGTACGAGGCCCCAATAAAATGATTTTTTTTTAAAAAAGACAGAAAGAAACATTGATGGTCAATATAAGAAGTAGTCCAACAGTGCCTTGAACTCCTGACCCATCTGCCCTGGGTGTACAGTATGTACAGGGTCTTGTCAGAGGGATAGGTAGGTCATTTGAGGGGTCACTAATTGACCCAGAGGCGAAATAGGTTTCCTCTGGTTCTTATTTGTTTTTATTTAAGAGGATTGCTGATATTTCAGCAATCCAGGAAAAAGGGTGCTAAGACTTGAGCTTTAAGCCGCAGACTCTGTTCAATTGAGAACCATATGCGTTCTCCTTTCTACGTAATGTGTTGTGTGCAAACCCCCTGGCAGGAAGACAGACTTGAACTTCCTGCCCAGCAGTCCGCAGACTGCGTGACCTGCCTGTCTGCAGAGCCTGCTCTGAGAATGGGTGGCGTGTGACAAAGAGTGGCAGACATGGGTCCTAGAGCCCATATTGAACTGAGCCCACTGTTGCCTTGGTTCTGACCCGCAGCAGCTCCCTAGGCTCCCTAGGCTACGATCTTGATGGAATTAGACCACCTCATCTCCTCCAGCACAGTAGCTCGTGGGTTTATACTGCTAACTCTGGGGCTAGCAGCCCCGTGCCTAACCCACTGCGCAACCAGGGCTCAACGAAATCCGGGTCATAAAAATCAAATAAAGGCCAGGATAAGGTTGGTCTTGTGTGTTATAAAGCCGTATATCGATGTGGCAGCGTCCTCGCCTTCTAAGTGGGGGGCCCAACTTTGTTTCCCAACCAGCGCACCAGAGTCATGACCCATGTGCCAGTGAGAGCCTGTGTGAGCCTCTGACGTCACACAATCCACTTTCCCCAAAAAAGATTAGTTAATGAACACCGTACGACACCATCGCCTCTGGTTGTCCATAGGTCCGGCTTGAGTTTGGGCCAACCCAGTGAACAACAAATAGGAAAGTATCAATGTAAGTATTAGTATGAGGATGGCGCTCCTCTCTGCTCGTGCTGCTGCCTGCAGCACACCCCCAAATAGATATGTGTGAATACCATTTCCTTATGGAATTTGAGCAATGTTATTTTATTAAACAAGCAAGCAAACAAAAAAAGCCCAAACTCACTACCATCTGGTAGGTGCTGACTCATCTCGACTATAGGACAGGGTAGAGCTGACTCTGTGAGTTTCTAAGACTGTAGACTTAGTTTCTAAGACTCTTTCTCCCAAAGAACGACTGGCTGGTGGTTTTGAACTTCGAACCCTGAGGATTGCAGCCCAAGGTGTAACCACTCTGTCTCCAGGGCTCGCTATTTTATTAGGAGGCCATTTTCTTCGCCTTTCAGTTTGCTCACAAACACAAAGGGCTTCAAAAGGTTCAAGAGAAAGCCCTTCAATCTTTGAATCCCATTTTCCCTCAGACCTTTTGAAGCCCTCGTGTGTTTGCCTTCACCACGGTCCTAAGTTCTAGCGTTAACCGTCTTTCACTGCCTATTGTTAGGTTCCTGGGTTCTATTCTCTCTTCTTTGCCCTCTACAAAGGGTGCAGCAGGGAACACAAGAGGTAGGAGACCCCGAGCCATCTCCTCATGGCTGCCCAGGTAGAAGGCAAATGCAAACTTAATAGAAGGTTTAAGTTTTAAACTAGAAATAGACATTTTTAAATTTTAAATGAAGAAAGTTCTATTCTTGCACTCCATCTACCTTTGAAATGGATTTTCACAAAATCCCCTCCTAGACGGAAGAGAAAATTGCTGTTAAACATGAAGGCACACCGTGATGGAATTCATCTATCAGTTACAGTGTAGAGACTGTTCCGGGGGACCTCTGTCTAAAAGCAAGTGTGTGGCGAGAAGCCCGCCACCTTCCTGGGAAGTAAGTGTGGGGAAGGTAGACATTTCCCTGCAGCCCAGGCCATGCTGAGCTCACTGGTGACTAACCCATGGCTGTTCCCCACCCTGGGCTGCCATGCTGGCATTTGGAGTCTGAGAGGTGGGAGCCTCCTGGTGATGCTCTTAGCTTCTTCCTATTTCGTTCGCCTTCTCCTAACCTCTGGCCAAAAACCTCCTGAGACCCGGCTTCTAGGCTAGCTCATGACCAACTCCATAGGCAGAGGAAGAGCCACGTGTGAGTCTCTCTACTGGACCTGTACTTGGAATGGGTGGGAGCAGGAAGGTGCTGAAACCTGGCTGTCTGCTTAGCTTCCAGAAGAACTGATTGTGTTCATGATCTGCTGATAAAGTAGCGCCCTCCTTGATTGAGCCCCCTTGTCATTTTTCTCTCCTTGCACAAAACGAGTAGAAACTTGACAGCAATACTCAGATCACTGATACCGTGGAATGGCTACTGATAAAGGTAATCTCCTGAAATGTCTCGTGACTAGCCAAGAAACTCACCACCCTTAAGGTGATGCGGACGCACAGCAACCCTGTAGACAGGGTAAAACGGCCCCTGTGGGTTTCTGAGACTGTAACTCGTTACTGGAGTAGAAAGCCCCATGCATGACTGGTGTTTTTGAACGGATGACCTTGAGGAATGCAGCCCAAGCCATAACCACGGCACCACTAGGGCTCTAAGGAATAAAGCTGTTGAAAATTACCAATTCACCGGGGGCGGGGGTTGGGGGGGGTGAGGGGTGGTGACTTTATCAGGTACAGAGCAAAGTCTATAAGTGCAAATGTAATCGGTATTTATTATTTTTAAACATATATATATGTATGTGTATGTACCTGTATAACCATTGCAGGGTAAGAACTGAATGTAATCTAATCTAGTGTGGGTGCTTAATAATTTATGAATATTAGTTATATGTTAATTATAGTAAATAGCAGATTGTAGGGAAATTATGCCATTAACCTTCAAACTAGTATGCCTAAGAGATATATCTTCTTCATTTTTTTGGTAACAATTCCTCATGGGAATGTTTTTAGGAAATAGGAAAATAGGAAAGCTCAGTAAAGTTAAAAAATGTCACTCTATTTCTGTGGTGCTTAGATGAAATTAAGAGATCCGCTCTTTCAGGGCTGATTCCCATGGGTTTGGGTTTGTATTGGGGAGGGTGGTAGCAGATAACCATAAAGTGGCTTTGTAGTAATTAGTTATCCTAGCCCTCCACACCCTGGCCCCTCTTAAAAAAGCAACAACAAAAACTACCTGAATCAGCCATTGTTTCACCCCGAGGTTATTAACTAAAGAACCCTTCTAGAGACTTTCATTAGAAAGAAAGGAGGGGAATTGTTCTATTCATTAAATGGCGTTGGTAAAACACTTTTTCAGCAGATCATGTTGGTCGGCAAGGTATTTAAGAGCTGGCATATTCTATTAAATCAAACCATGATGTCAGAAACCTACATTTTATTCCAGGCGCTATTAAAAACAGTGATGCAGTTGTAGCTTTGCAGGGTTCTTCCTTAGGCTGCGGTAAATAACGCTGTCAGGACCGCGTGCGGCTGAAACCCCAGGGCTGCACGGACTGGGCTCGCTGACTTCTCAGCTCAGGATGGCCTCTCATCTCGAGCGGCCTGTTGTGCAGGAGGGGAGCAGCCCAGCCCAATGTGAAGGCATTGAAGAAAGAAGATGCGCTGTTGAGGAGTGTAGCACGTCCAAGCAAGACCTTAACCAGCAGTTTCTGAGAGACATTCTCCACCATCGAAAATTCCCAGGAGCCCCCTTGCCGAATCCCTGGAGTGACCCCCGCCAGGAATTCCTCCGCCCTGTGGGCGCAGCTTCGGGATTCAACTCCCTGCCACTGAGTGGACGCTGGCTCATAGCCACCCTAGGGGAGAGGGGGGAACTGCCCTGTGGGTGCCCAAGACGATGACTCTTTATGGGAGTAGAAAGCCTAGTCGTTCTCCTGCGAGTGGCTGGCAGTTTTGAACCGCTGACCTTGCCGTGAGCTGCCCAACATGCCACCACCATGCCACCAGGGCTTCCTAGCTTGGGGATTAGCTCCATGAAAAGTGACTCTTTCTGACCGTTTGCCAAAGACCCTTCCCCAGCCACGGAATCGCCCGGCTGTGAGGGGTCGAGTGAATCGCACAGTTGTAACCCCACGTGCTCCTGTGACTGGCCCATGGGGATCTCCTGGCCGGACAGGGTGGCCGGTGCCGCTGCCCGGCCCAGGGACTGAGGGGGCGGTGGCGAGGGTAGTGCAGGTATTGGGACAGTCTGGATGCGCATCTCCTGTCCACCTGCAGTGGACTGGACTTGGACTTGGAACTCGTCTCTGCCCTCTGTTGTATATTCCTGAGCAGCTGTCGAGCAGCTGCCTGGCTCCACCTCAGCAGTGGGTGAACCGACTCCGCTGTCTGTTTATGGCAGAGCAGAAAGGGCCCCGGGATAAAATGCCCTGAATAAACATCAGATATTGTGAGTATTTTTATTCACCGTAATGAAGCACATTATTATTAGCCAAGAACTGTGGCTTCCCAGCTGAGAGCGGGTGCACTTGACAATATCTCCTCACATCCAGCCCCTCCTCCCTTTGAGTCCCCCAGAGGGGGGGGAGGCTGCAGCTCAGCGGGGTGCTGTTCTTCGCCAGAAAGAGGGCTGGGATGCGGGCTCTGAGCCTCGCACTCCACACTCCACCCTGCGGCCTCACAGAAGCCCAGCCAACTTGCTGCCAGAGCCCCCCCACCCCGCAGCCCCTCTTTGGTGTAGAGTGAGGGGCTGGAGTTGGAAAGGGAACATGCTTGTAGCACATCATTTGTGCTTCTCTGGTGCTTTTCTCCAAGGAGAGCAAAATGCTATATGGACCCGTTCCCATTTATCTTCAGCACTTACCTGCCGGGTAGAAGGCCCATATTTATGATCACCGTTGATTTACCTGGAGGGAGACTGGGGCCTAGAGGAGCTCACACAGTTGTGACTGCACCTGGGATTCAGCAGCTGCATGATCAAAAGATAACCAGGGTATAGTGACTTTGCAGCCAGGCACACCGATTGCCCTGCGCTCAGACCCAACTACGACCCTCTCATCTCACTGGCAAGCCCGGAGCTGGGGAGGAGCTTGCCGAAGGGCCCACGGCAAAGCAAGCGCAAGTCCTGGAGGCCGGATCTGAATCAGGCAATCTCTGCTCCTAGCCAGCCCTTGCGGCTTCCTGAACATGCCTCACTGGGTCTTCACGGGAGTGGGGTTCCGTTTGACCTTTGCAGAAGGATTGTGGTTGCTGTCAGGTGCTGTGAACCGGATTCTGGCTCTGGGCAACCCCAGGGGACAGAGTCGAACTGCCCCGTCGGGCAGGGGTTTCAGACTAACCTTTATGGGAGCAGATCAACAGGGCTTCTCCCTTGGAGGCAGGAGTGGGTGTCAATTGTCAACCTTGAGGTTGGTGGATGAGTCCTTAACCATTTTCCCATGGGGGGGGGTGGGTCCCCTGCTCAAAGATTAGACATGTGTAAAAGTATACTTGAACGTAGCATTGGTAATTGAGTGGGAGAATTCTTGCCTTTTATATGGAAGACCCTCAATCAATTCCTGGCCAGTGCACCTCAAGAGCAGCCCATCTCCCTACCCCAGCCCCCCCCCCCGCCCCCCCTCTGTCATGGGAGGCTTTCCTACTGCCATGACACTGAACAGGTTCCATGGCAGCATCTAGACTCCGACAGTTTAGGAGGAAAGGCCTGGTGATGTTCTGAAAACCAAGCAATGGAGTAAGTCCCTATGGACCCCAGCTATAACTTATCACCAGGACGGAGTAAAACTAGGTGGCATTTCGTTCATGTTGTCACCAGATGACAACCAGCATCAGGTGACTAAAGGGAGTACTGAGCAATGCAGGGGTCCATTCGCCCACTGCTCACGGGGGCAGCTCCAGAAGAAATCCAGCCCGCACACCTTTAATCAAGCAACCCTAAAGGATCTCTTAAGAGAAATAACTAGCAGATATGTATTACTGTTAGTGGTCCTGTGTTATTGAGAAATCTGTAAAAGCAATAGCGATGCAGCGTTACCAATAATGAGTGTGTTTCTGCTGTTAATATTAAGCTGGGATTCATAGAGTCCTTGGTTCTCCACGTCTCAAAGCATCATCATGCCATCTTTCGTTGCAAATCTAATATAGTTTTATGACATTGCTGTGAATTAATCTGTGAAGAGATACTTTATTGACTGCCCAGCCAAGGAAACGAGAAATATTAAGTAAAATTACAGGGGAAAGGGGGATGGATTGGGACTTGATTCCATCAAGGGAAGGGAAAGGAAGCCCCTGCTCGGAATAGGATGAGTCCAGATGCTGGCTCGGGGGCTTCTCGTTTCCCGTTGGTGCCTTTGGGAACAGCCCTGCATCTCTCGGGCCATAGTTGGCCGCCGAGTGTGAACATCAGAAGGTGGGGTAAATGATCTCTCACTTCAGTCCCATCACCGATGCTGTTTTTATCACCTTAGACCTTTCACTTGTGCAGGGAGAGCTCCTGAATGTTTGGCGTGGTTTCCACCAGCCCTGAAGTCCCTCTGTATTGTGGTGGCAGATTTCCTTGGTGTGGTATAAAAGGCAGTGAGTGGGTTTTCAGGAGGCTGGCATTAGAAGTCCTTATATTAAGCTAGAGTAGAAATAGATTCATGAGCAGGCTCTCAGAGGAGTTACCAAGGCTTCTAATTTCATGATTCTGCTAGAATGTTTTTGTCGCGTATCTGCAGTATGCCCGAGCTGAATATTTGGAAGTTCTGCTACAGCAATTTAGTGGGCAAGGCAGAAAGGTCATGCTGGGTCCCAATCTTTGACTGTGAACGTTGAAGCAAAGGGTGGTGCCCAAGACCAGTTGCTATTAAGTCAGTTCCTACTGATGACAACTCCATGATGTCACAGTACAGCTGTGCCCCAAGGTCTTTCCTGTGGCTGCTTTTACAGAAATAGATCTCCAGGTCTTTCTTCCAAGGTGCCTCTGGGCAGATGTGAGCTTCTAATCTGTTGACAACTAAGCTGGGAACCTTTACACTCTCGGGATAAGAGGGTGAAATGAAATTTTTACTAGATTCATGTTCTTGCCTTCCCTTCAGTAAAATCATGGAAACGAGAGGATTGGGAAGAAAACATGATTAAGCAATCTATTTTCCCTTAAAAACAAAACCTACATCAGGCTAATCCATAGGGACTAAAAAAGATCTCCAGGCAACCATTGATTCTGTCTCTCTAAGTTTTCAAAATTTCAACGCATCATGCTTTCATTTGTGGGAGGTGTGTGTGCACATGTGCACAGTCTCACTTCCCAGACCTGGTGTGTGCAGAGGCGCATACACCAAACATATCGCGGTGTTTGTTGTCCTGCCCTTTCAGGCGTGCAACGAGTTCACCACCCACGTGATGAATCTCCTGCGAGAGCAGAGCCGGACCAGGCCCATCTCCCCGAAGGAGATCGAGCGGATGGTCAGTATCATCCACCGCAAGTTCAGCTCCATCCAGATGCAGCTCAAGCAGAGCACGTGTGAGGCGGTCATGATCCTGCGTTCCCGGTTCCTGGATGCGCGGTGAGTCACGAGGGACTGTCTTCTTCTGGGTGGACCCACTCACCAAGCCTGGCATCCTTGGGCTGACCCTCCATAGAAGCGTTCAGTGCCATCTTGTGACAGGTGGAGTCCCATGGAAGCCTGTGGAAAGTGCGTAGGTGAGGTAAAGGAGGCTGCAGGACTGACTGGCTGGCCCACTGGTGTCAGAGCATGCCAGGCGCGTGAGGGGCTGCTCCTTGTTGCCATTGCCTCTCACGCTGAGTGTGAACAGGGACAACGTAGCTACCGTGACAGAAGTGGTAGGATGGAAACAGTCCCAAGCAATAAACCAAACTCATGCCCATCAAGTCCATTCTGACTCATAGCCACGTCAGAGGACGGGCTAGAGTGGACCCAGGGGCTTTCTGAAGCTGTACATCTCCTGGAGAACAGCTGGTGGGCTTGAACCACTGACCTGGTGGATAGCAGCCCAATGCATTCACCCATTACACTACCCTATTTAGAGGTGCACTGTGTCATTATGGGCCCGGAGCTGTCTTCATTGCGCACCACAGGGGCACTTGCTTCAGCTCAGACAGTTCAGTTTGTTGGCTGGGTGGAATCTTTTCCATGATGTATAGATAACAAGTGTTCTCAATTCAATTGGACCCACATTTATAAATAGATTACCATGGGCCAGACTCTAGGTCAAGTTTTAAGCATGCAAAGATGAAGGAGACGCATATGAGGGGGCTGATAGATTGACTGATATGGACCCAGTGTTACCTGCTCATGACTCTAGTTGTGAGTTCAAAGCCTTCAGTGAAGAAATGTGGGTAAGTCCTTTTGGACAAAGAGGAAGGACGTCTGAGGATAGGCAGGAGGGCATCAGTTCTTGGCTATCGGACGTTTTAGCTCCATGGATTTGTACACATCCCTTTGATTCATTTTGCTTCTGTTTTCCAGGCAGGCACACGGAGACAACCATATCTTCTCTCAACTCTAGAAGAATGTGGTGATGGTTGCTCTTGTAAATGCATTTTGAGAGCCTGGCTGTTTTTTGTGATCCGCAATTCATCTTAAATTAGCTCTTGTCTTATAAATGCAGGTGCCCCAAATCATTATTTCAGCTCCTGAAAATAATTCCCAATGCATGATTTTTATAATCAGAACGGGAGCTCTATCAGGGGTCAATGCACCAGGTTCTGATCGATGGCTTGGCCTGTTTTCAATCAGACAGATTCATTCTTCTGCTTGCCTTTTTTCCTGCTTTTCCACTTCTGCGATCCTGTGGGTGGTAGTTAGCAGTTTTACCCACACGTGCCTCTCTCTCCACATATGTAGACTTCAGAGAGCATGAACGTCTTCAGAACTCCTGAGCCCCTTCTCCTAAACACCCTTTCCCTTCATGCACTCGAGGCCATGTGAGACATGGCATGACAGTGTCAGCTAGCAGAATGTGTCTGTGGGCCACGAGTATTCCCTACCATACTTCCAAAGTACATGAAGACCACTCTGCCCACTTTGAGTCAGAATCCCTTGGAAGGCAATGGGTTTCCCAAGTAGAGTGGTGGTGGACCCAGGGGAGAGAGAGGTTCCCCCCTGCGTGCCTTCCCTTCGTCCCACGGGCTGCTGCCAGCCCCATGGGCTGCTGCCAGCCTGGATGCTGCCATGCAGACTTCCTCCCAGGATGCCAAGCCCAAGTGACTGGTGGCCTCTGGCTGGGTCCTCCCTGGGCTGCAGCCGCCACCACTCAGCATGTGTTTCTTACACCCCGTGGCAACTCCCCTCGTTAAAATGCTGGAGTTGGTATTTATGTTGGCAGATCCTGAAAAAAAAAAAAAAAAAAAAGAGAGAGAAAAAGAAAAGCTAGGCCCAGGCAGCCTTCTTTTCAAAGAAAGAAATCAAAGGAGGAAGGGAGGCACAGAATCATTGTCCAGTCAAATTTCTTTTTTGTGGTAATTCTGCTCAGCCTAGTTGAAGGTCAGAGTCTAAAAGACCCACACCAAGCCCTGCTTTGTCCACATTTCCTCCCCCACCACCACCACCAGCCTCTGCCTGGATGATTCTCTTTGGCATCAGAAGGACAGTCACTTTAAGACGAGGTCTCTTTTCTGCCTCTCAGCCAGGGTTCAAAGTAAAAGCAACTATTGTTACTCTTTTTATCATTTCAGTTTGGGGAACATTCAGTTGCTGTGAAAGGCTATCACCCCAAGTGCCAGCCTACAGCTGAGCAAGCGGCTTTCCCCGCTTACAAATCAGTGTTTCCCAGACCACCTGATGTGTGGGCTTTCTATCATTGTCTCCAGTCACTAGCTATAACTGGGAGAGTTAGCTAAACACGCCTTTGTCAGTACATTCACATTTGCCTCTAAAACTGTGCATCGGATGAGCATGGCTTCTCCAAAAATTTAGGGATTCCAAATAGAGGATAAGAGGGACTCTAATTTTCAATACTAGAATTCGTTTTGGTAATGTAATAGGTACATAGAATTGTTTGTTGACTCATAATAGATTACCACAAATTTAGCCATTTAAAATAAGAGAGTTTCTGCACACCCTAAGTCTAGGCTTTGCCGGCTAGCTCTGCTCTTGCAAGGCTGAGAGACTGAAGTGGCAAGCAGTCTTACAAGGCTGAAATCAAGGGGTTGGCTGAAGTTCCGGGTCACCTTCCAAGCTCACTGGAGCCACTGGCAGAATTCACTTCCTTGTGGGTGGAGGGTGAGGTGCTCCTTGTGGAGAGACTGCCTTGCCTCTTAGGCCTCTTGTCATGCTTCCTGGAGCCCCGTGAGAGAAGCTTTTGAATTTAAGGCTTTAATCCAACCGCCCTTTACTGATCAATTGCCTACTCATGAGACGGATGTAGCTACAGGTGCTTGGAGGACGTACGAACATGTCTACTGGCCATTGAACCTTGCAGGCCATTGAAAATTCTACTTGCCCACTGCCTCTGAGCGCCTGGGCCAGCTTTGTCCCACTCTCTCTCTCTCTCTTTGACTTAACTGTGTCAGAAAAGTTGTCCGGAAAAAGTCCCATTAATTCACGTCCATTCAATACTGATCACCTTCTGATTGGGAACCAAAGGATCCCAGCTGGTGCTATGGGTCAAAGTCAGCACTTTAAACATCTTTCTCCCTGGAGAAAGGCTCTTTCCTCCCATATAGGTTTACATAGATTGGGTCACTCCTTAGGTTAGAATGGGCTAGATGCCAATGGTTTTAGGTTGGGCTTTTGCTCTGAAGCAAGGGTTGTGCTATAAAACTTTGTAAGTTGTTTTTTTGGTTTTTTTTTACCAGCACTATAACCGGTTGAGAGGGAGTAAGTGATAGTTCATATTCTCAATGACTCTCAAGGAGTTAATTTTAACTGAGTTTCCTTGTGATCATTTTCAGTGACAGCATGAAGAGCAGATGATTAGCCCCGGTGCCTCTGAGAGGGGTTGGGGGGGGGCTGCATTCGATGGATTAGCAAAGCTGGAGATGGAAGCAAGAGGAAAGGGCATCTTGGGATTTTAGGTCTTGTCAGATTGGCGCTGTATTCCGATGGGTTTACCCAACTGAGCGTTTCTTGTCTGTCAGATCTTCTATTTACTACTGGATTAACAAAAGTGAAAAATAAAAAAATGTGTGTGTGTCTACAATGGGGGCCCCTCTCTTTTAAGAGCCCATCTTAAAAACAAAAAGTCCCCTGCTCCTGGGTTGGTGCTGACCCTGGCAACCCTACAGGAAAGAGACAGGTGCCTCCGAGGGTTTCCAATTCAGGAAATAGCTATAGAAGCTGACTGCTAGACCTGTTTCTTCCCCATGGGGTGGCTAGTGGGTTCAAACCACTAATCTTTGGGTTGGTAGCTGAGTGCTTTAACCATTGCACCACCAGAGTTTTTTCTTCAAGAGTAGGCAAAACAGACATTCTTCTAATTAAACCAGAGGAACTAGATTCGTGGTTCTCAACCTTCCTAATGCTGTGACCCTTTAATGCAGTTCATGTTGTGGTGACCCTCCAACCATAAAATTATTTTCGTTGCTACTTCATAACTGTACTTTTTCTACTGTTATGAATCAGACGACCCCTGTGAAAGGGTCATTCAACCCCTAAAGGGGTCGCGACCCACAGGTTGAGAACCACTGAACTAGATGACGCCTGCCTTGAACTATCAGCCATTCTATTCAAGGACATCATAGATGGACCCAGATAGGAAAATGTGGAACAGAGACTCAAATCCATACACAAAACAAAACAAAAGCCCAGGCCTACGAGACTGGCTGACATTCAAGGCTTTCCCAAGACTATTGACCTGAACTACTCTTTAAATTTTGATCTGAAACTAACCTCTGAGGTCACCTGTTCCTAATAACAACTTGGCTCCAAAAAATAGTGAAGATTACCCCTAAGTACTGTGCTCTTTTTAGAATTCACATGAGGCCCGATGGTAAATAACCGAAAAATCAAACTCCCTGCCACTGAGTCAATGCCAGCTCTCAGCAACCCTATAGGACGGAAGAACCACCCTTGTAAGTTTCTCAGACTGTCACTGCTTACAGAAGTAGAAAGCACCGCCTTTCTCTTGCACAGTGATAAGTGGTTTTGAACTGCTGACCTTGCAGATCGCAGCCCAGCTCATAACCATGACACCTACTAGACTTCTACATGGTCAATAGTTACTGCAAAACAAAGAGCATAATTGAAGAGGGCAGGGGAAATAGATTGCTGGGAGAGAAACACCCAGGTCAGAAGTACTGAGACTGTTTACCCATGATGAAGCTTGCGCCTGTTGTCACTGAAACCTGTTTAGAAATGGGTGAATGGAAACCTAAACTCTCATGTAAATCCTGTGCCCAGACACACTAAAATATTACTAAAAAAACCCCAAGACACTGCACGCTGTACATGCACAGGAAGTGCATCTGCCACACAGATAGGAGCTCAGAGGACTGGTTCGGGAATGCTACCTGAAAGGGGACAGAGGTTGGTGACGGGGCAGACGGGGCTGAATCTCAGAAGAGCAACTGTACGTTGCTAGGTAGAAGGAATAGCATGAACTAAGACAGTGGTTCTCAACCTTCCTGGTGCTGCGACCCTCTAATACAGGTCCTCATGTGGTGGTGACCCCCAACCATACAATTATTTTTGTTGCTACTTCATAACTGTCATTTTGCTACTGTTATGAATTGGGCGACCCTGTGAAAGGGTCGTTCAAACCCCAAAGGGGTCGCGACCCACAGGCTGGGAACCGCTGAGCTAAGAGGAACAACACAATTTAACTTCAGCCCGCCTTACTTACAGTTGAGGCCCGGCGATGAGTTAGGCATTAGGACGTCCAATGGGATTGGTGTGCAATTCCGACCCTTGACTCAGCGGTCGAGAAGGGGAGACATATTTACAGGAGGGCTTCAGACTGGTTCATTCATGGCTGATGCCGCAAATTGCAACAGGCCTAGGTGGACCCACTGTGGGTATACCTGAGCGGTAATGGGACCAGGAAAACACTGGAGTGGAGGCAGTGGAATGTGAGTCTCAGAAGAGGCACAATGAGCCCTTTCGGATGCCTGATGCAGGGGAGAGTGGATTATTGCCAGGCCGGGGAGAGCACACAGTCATACGCACTGGCCACCACCTTTGAACCAAGCACCATTATTCACGGCTCTGCCTGACTGGAGATTTGGTGCAATGTGGATGCTGCTCTGGTTTTCTAGGAGGCAGATTACCTTTCTATCGGGGTGTCAGCCCATACTTTTTCTGTTCTGGTGATTTTCCCAGTGCACCCAGATTTTATAAATACAGGTTCATTCTGTTTTTCTTTCCAGCCATGACTGAACAGGGAAGAACTGGTGGGAAGCCCTGATATAAACATTTGTCAGCTGCTGTAGAGGAGACATACATAGGCAGAGGAGCATGAAAGCCATGGGTGTCTGTGGGGAATGGATAAACATATGATGTGGCGAGATGAAATTATGTAGAGCATGTGTAGAACTGGGGGTGAATGGGACACCGGGGATAGAACAAATGCGCTCAGAAGTCTAAATGTTCCAGTGAAGAGTCTAGCTTCGTCCCATTAAGGGTCTGCAACATGCAGAGGTGTTTAAGCAGCAAGTGTAGTGATTCACCGTGCGAGTTCTCCAGTAGGGTTTCCAGGGATTCCCTTTCTGGCCTCAACTCAAGCAACTCCTACGATCCAGTCCGGATAGCAGATCATTCCCCAGGCTCCATTTTCTTATCTGAAATAAGGATAACCCTATAAGCAGAATTAAATAAAACAATAGGACAAGGCAGCATCGAGTGTGGCACATATTCACAGAACAGATTAGCTCTTATCATACTAGTAATTATATGTACTACACAGTATATCACTGTATGCGATAATGATTATTAATGGTGACATACCGGATCAGTATTTCATAAACATTACTCTGGCGATTCTCTTGAAGATGAGCTGAACTGGAGTAGAAAGTAGTGTGGGGACCGTTATTGGCGCCTGTGATCCTCAACATGGAGGAACACAGTACAGGTTAGGAAACACCTTCCCTATTCAAATATTCATGAAAGAAAGAAACAAACAAACAATGTATTTTAAAATAAATCATGATTTCGACTAGACTAAAACAGGATTTTAGTCTGAGTATTCTCTCTCCCACTAGTCGGGCTGACCAGGCACTATATGTGGGAAGCACCTGTCCAGAGTTAGACTGTCTAGTATGGTAGCAACTAGCCACGTGCTATTATTTGGATTTAAGTTATTTGTTGTTGTTGTTGTCAGGTGCCACCAACTCAGTTCTGAATCTTAGTCACCCTACGTATCACAGAAGGAAACGCCATCCTCACCCTCAATGTTATGTTAGCCCACTGTTGCAGCCACTGTGTCAGTCCATCGTGTGGAGGCTCATCCTCTTTTTCATTGAGCACTGCCATGCTGCCAAGCTTGATATCCTTCTCCAGGGACTGATCCTTTCTGATAACCTGCCCAAAGTGAGGGAGCCCAAGTCTCCCCATTCATCCATTTAAGGAGCGTTCTGGTTATACTACTCTCCAAATAGATTTGTCCTTCCTCCTGGCATTCAGTAACATTTAAGGTGGTAGTCCTCAATCACTAGCCAGTTGGCCTCTGCTCAATAGCCCCATGTCACTCATGGCTGCTGTATTGGACAGCAAGGAGTAAACACACAGAAAGTGCTATTAGGCAATACTGATATAGACCATCATACAAAAGGCCGTGGCTCATTGAAACCCAGTTTTAAATGGCAGGGGCAATAAGGGTAGAACAAAAGGGGAGATAGCAAAGAGTCAAAAGGGCAGCACTTGCTTTGAGGCCCACCACTTGCAATAGGAATCACCCAGCGTCACTCCTCAGCTGAGGCACCTGCTAAACACTCAAATATTAGAAGGCACAAACAGAAGTACATGTTAATAAACACTAGAAGCTATCTGTGGTGATGTGATTGCAAAACACAAAATTTCTTTCATAAGAAATTTTCTCTTGTGGATTCACCACCAACCTCCCCAAATATTGTCTCTCTTCCTAATGATCAAATAGCTTTCGCATTTCTTAAACACTGACCATCACAGCTTCTCATTGGCCAGCAACCACAAACATTAGTGAGCTGAGCTGATACCACTTCAAGGAAAGAAACAAGGTGTTGCAGCATGACGGTCTGATCATCCAAAGTGTGTTTTTCTGCTAGACTTCTTGCGAAAAAAACAACAACCTTGATACTAGGATTTCCGAGACCGTCGGTTAGGGCTGCCTCTGCAAGAAGCAATAAGGGAGTCCATCAGAGTAGATGAGACCACCCAGGGAAGACTGCACTGCAAACCCAGACGAGGGCCAGGAACAGCTGTCTGCACCATCCCCACACCATCAGCCCGTTCCAGAGATGCTTCCTTTGAGCTCCATTGGAAGAGTCCCAAAAAATACACTGTGATGCTAATGCAAACAACTGATTGAATGAACTTGAACTGCAGCTCTCCCAATTAGGGGAGCCATCAGGGCCTGGTTCCCTAGACCTAAAACAACTGTCTCCTTCAGGCAAAGCAACAGCAGCTAAAGGCTATGCAAAGACTTGCCTGGTGACCAAAATTAGCCACTCGGTCATCTACTTCATATTCTTATCATGTAAGTTTTAAGCACAAGCTTACTTTCTACTTGGGCATTTTAATCCAATCCATCTAAATGCTGATGCTAGGTAACCCACAAACTCCTAGTGATTTGGAGAAGTGACTTAGGCTTGGCATAATTTGGACAGATGTGGTTAATACCTACAGACAGATGGTGTTCATCCGGTAAAATCAGGCACTTTATTGTGCTAATTAACCCAAATGGGACCCTGAAAATACAGTATTAGCTGAATTTCCTTTCTAGTAAGGCAATCTCAGTGTTTTCTGGTGGTTAAATTTGGGAGATTCTAAGTTCTAGCTAAACCAGGGATGTTCTGGAAATTGTTCCCATCCATACCGAAACACTGCTGATAAAAGCATGCATGGCAGAAGCGCTCATGGAGGGGCCACGGATGTCTTCAGGGTGCCTGGAACCAGGCCCCTCATTGTCCACAGGCCTTAGCTGTGAGGAGGCAAGGAAAGAATTCTCACGATTAATTAGTTAGCACTTTTGTGTAAGGCAGAAAATTGCCCCTTTTTTTGGTTAAAGTTTTGCTTCCTCTTATCAACCTATATAATAATAAATGATATCTGTGAATTGGCTTTTTGTTTGTTTTTTTTTACCATTTAGCACCTGTTGTTGCTTAAGATGTGCCCAATGGACTTCTTTTGAAGGAGGTCAGAGGAAAGGGGTTAATCTCAGTGAGCCCTGGACCCTTTTACCCAGCCTCCTCCATTTGAAAAATGTTGCTATTGGGTGCATTTAGTGGGAGAAGAGGAGGTAGAAAATGGTAATTTCTTTGTACCTTAGGGCTTCAGAGTCTCTGTGTATTTGCCAAGAGGGAATTTCTGTAGAAGAAACAGTCTGGGTTTTCTAGTCAGACCAACCTGAACCAATAACTTGGTTCTCTCATCATGTGCCACTGGAGGGACTATTGAACTCATTTCTCCATCAATGAATGGACGTGACCGTAGGTACCTCGATTGTGTGGAAAAGGAGTCACTTGAATTGATCACCAAGAGGAGTAAAGCCCACTGTCTAGGACAGCAGTTCTCAACCTGTGGGTCACCACCCCTTTGGGTGTCGAACGACCCTTTCACAGGGGTCGCCTAAGAAAACATGTAAATATTTCACAATATAGAATTACATGTTATTGTGTGATTAATCACTATGATTTAATTATGTTTCATAATGTTCAATTTGTAACAATGAAAATACATCCTGCGTATCAGATATTTCCATTGCGATTCATAACAGTAGCAAAATGACAGTGATAATGTTATGGTGGGGCATCACCACCACAAGAGGAACTGTGTGAAAGGGCTGCGGCCCGAGGAAGGTGGAGAACCACCGCTCTAGTAACTCATGGGAAGAGAAGCTGTCTCTCTTCTGCCCTCACTGCGCCCTACTCCAGTGGCGGTGAGGTCAGAATGATCTCTGGCTGTCTTTTGAAGAAACTGAGGCTGAGAGGGCTGCCACAGTCACCCAGCTCACCCAGTCACTCAAAGCCAAGATTGCTAGACTCTTGAGAGGCCACGGCTCACCCCAGGGTATCAATATTTTCCCATCCTTCTGTTCAGTACCTCCATGGTACATGCAGAAGGATGCTACGGATGCCCGTGGTGATGGCGGAGGCAGCTAGCCCCATTGGGGAAACTCTTCTGATTGACCTTTTTTTTTAAAACAGTGTCTATTTCCCAAAGCAGCTCTTCTTCTCTTCATTTGCTTAGAACTCTTTCAGTTGTCATTTTCTTTCTCTTTGTCAAGGCGGAAGAGACGGAATTTCAACAAGCAAGCTACGGAAATCCTGAATGAATATTTCTATTCCCATCTCAGCAACCCTTACCCCAGTGAGGAAGCCAAAGAGGAGTTAGCCAAGAAGTGTGGCATCACAGTCTCCCAGGTAAGGGCCCTCCGTAGACACAGCCGAGTGCCTCACCAGGGGAGAGCTTCCGGGTGGGTCTTGGAGGCCTTGCTTTACTGAATGAATCTACCTTGCTGGTTCCATCAGTGAATCCTTAAAATGGCAAGGCAAGTGCAGGATATATACACAGGGGCTACAAAATGTTCCTGGAAAACAGAAATGGAAAGATAATGGAATCTTTCCCCCCAGGACCATTTTAAAACCTCCTGGCATATGTGAACTTCCAGGTAAGTAACTTGCTGAGAAGGACACAACTAAAAGGATTGGCATTGCGTTTGTCATCAAAAAACACCTTTCAGGATCTGTGTAGATGTACCGGGCTGTCTGTGATAGGATAATGCCTATGTGAACGCATGGGAAGCCAGTTCATACAACTGTCAATCAACAGATTTATGTAGCAGCCACCAAAGCGCACGCACACTTGCTGTGGCTCTCTCTCTCGCACACTGCCATCGCGTCCGTTTGGACTCAGAGCAACCCTATCGGACAGGGTAGACTTCCTTGTCAGTGCAGTAGGCAGCACGGCAGTCTCATACTCTGGAGGTTGTACGGGACAATGTAAAGCTGCCCCCACAGGTTCCTGAGGCTATAACTCATTGCAGGAGTAGAAAGCCTCATCTTTCTCCTATAGAGCCTCTGCAGTGGTTTCAAACTGCTAAACTTGCAGTTAGCAAGCCAACATGTAACCACTATGCTTCCATATGCAGAAATTTGAAGAAATCTGCCAGCATCTTCAGCCTGAAATTAATCAAGCAGGCAATCAAGATGTATTGATAATGATTGATGTTTGAAATGCAAAAGATAATGGAATACTAATTGTAAAATGTGGTCTTGGTGATAGAAACAAAGCTGAAGAGCATATGATAGATTTTGCAAGACCAACTATGCCTTTTTTTACAGTTTTATTAGGACATAATCCATATATCATACAATTTGGTCATTGAATCATATCAAGAAGAATTGTATAATCACTTAGAACATTTTCTTCTTTCTTGTATTCCTTGTTATTTGCACCCCATTTCCCACCAACCTCCCCTTTCCTACCCCCAGAAAATCCAGTTACTGTCTATAGATTCACCCATCCTGGATTTCATATACTGAAACAAATTCAAAAACAAAAACAAAAAAGCTAACAACATAACAAAATAAAATAGAGAGAAACCTCAATTGAAAAGAAATCAAAAAATATTAAACACTAAAACAAGTTTAAAATGGGTCAAAAGGGAGATCAAATGACAAGATGTTAAAATGTAAGCTACCTACATCTGCCATAACCCACTTCCCAATGTACTCTGCATGCGAGTAAGGCTATTCACGTTCCTGAAGAGCCGTGCTTCTTAACTGCAAATACCGTTTTCGACAACACAAAAGGTGCCTCTGTACCTGGACCTCACCAAATGGGAAACACAGAAGTTGAATTGACTGCATCGGTGAGAAGAAACAAGGGAGAAGCTCAAATCAGCAGCTAAAACTAGGCCAGAGGCCGATGGTGGCGCAGACCAGCGCTTGCTCATATGTAGGTTCATGGTGAAGCTGAAGGGAATTAAAACAACTCCATGAGACCCAAAATATGACCTTGAGGCAATCCTGCCCAGGTTTCAAGAATATCTCAAGGACAGGGTTGAGTCATTAAACACGAATACCAGAAGACCCGATGAACTATGGGAGAATATCAAGCACATCATATATGAAGAAAGCATAAAGCCATCACAAAGTCAGGAAAGAAAGAAAAGATCAAGGTGGATAACAGAAGATGCTCAGAAACTCGCTCTTGGTCATAGAGTAGGAAGACATGATGAAGTCAACGAGCTGACCCGAAAATTTCAAAGAGCAGCTCAAGAAGACAAAATCAAATATTTAATGAAATGCGGCAAAGAGCAAGATGTAGAAAACCAAAATGGAAGAATATGCTCAGCATATCTGAAACTGAAAGAACTTAGCCGAAAATGCAAGCCCCTGGTTGCAATATAGAATGATTCTATGGTCAAAATATTGAATGATGCAGGAAGCATCAAAAGAAGATGGGATGAACAGAGGAAGTCACCCAAAAAGAACTAGGCAACATTAAACCATATCAAGAGGTGGCAGATGATGAACCAATGGAATTGAAGGAAGAAATCCAAGCTACACTGAAAGCATTAGTGAAAAACAAGGCATTGATGAAATACCAATGGAAATGCTGCCACGAGCTGATGAAACACTAGAAACACATCTATGCCAGGAGATTTGGAAGACAGCTGCTTGATCAAGAGATCCATATTTGCACCCATTCCAAAGACAGGTGACCTACAGAATGCACAAATTAAGAACACTATCGCTGATACCACATGCAAGGAAGATTTTCTGAAGAGCCTCCAACAATAGTGTTAGGAGTACATTGACAGGTTGTTTGAACAAACAGATCTATCTTGGGCAAAGGACAGCCAGTGTAGTATGCACCTTAGAGCGAGGACTGCAAGCCTTTGCCTGACTTACTTTGGACATGTTATCAGGAGAGACCGGTCCCTAGAGAAGTCCACCCTGCATGGGAAAGTGGAAGGGCAGGAAAAGAGGAAGGTCATCACTGAGATGGATGGACCCAGTGGCTGCAACAATGCGCTCAAACATCAGAACAACTGTGAGGATGGCGCAGCTGTTTCGTTCTGTTGTTCGTGGGTCACAACGAGTCAGAATCAACTGCAGGGCACTTACAATGAGAACATGAGAGTGGCCAACCAGGGTAGGACAGGACCAAGTACTCTGTCAGAAAAGAGAAAGGTCTTCTGACGGAGTACTTCCTCACTTCCAATGGGTGAAGTGTCGGAGAGAGACTACGAAAATGGTCTGCATTTCTCATGCTAACCCAGAGAATTTTGAAGTCAGTCAAAGGAGCTATATTGGGATGGATACTCGACATGTCATTGAGGATCGTCTTCATTCAACAATCCGTAACCCTTGCAGATTTCTGTTGGCTTGGAAACCAAAACACTCACTGCCCTTGAGTCCACTCTGACTCAAAGCCACCCTATAGGACTGGGTGGGACTATCCCTGAGGGTTTCCAAGACTGTAAATCTTTACGGGAATAGAAAGCCTCATCTTTCTCCCATGGAGTGGCTAGTGGTTTCGAACTGCTGCCCTTGTGGTTGAAAGCTCAATGCTTAACCACTTTATCAGCAGGACTCTTAAGGTCGATAGATAAGATGTTTATAAACCTGAAGTCCCCCCCAAATCATATGAAGTTAGCAAGCTTGGCATTATTTATATTTGTATATCAAATTCTAGTTGAGACCAGTAATGGTAGTTTTGAAACCAATCAGAGAAAATGTTCCCGGGAATGAAGTCCCCAACCAAACCAAATATGCTGATATTATCAGGAAAAGCAAGTCCAGGGGTAGTGGAGCAGGAATGGGGAAGTAGGGGTTTGAGGGCAAGGAAAGAGACTTGGTGGTTTATTCTAATGAGAAGCTTCACCATATATATCCCCTTGAAATAGATCTGTGCCTCCTTGAATCAAATCTTGGCTCCTGTTATTCCTCCATCGGGAATCCCTTCAGCTTTTGTTCAGCTAAGCAGAATTATGGCCAGTAAGAATACAGAACTCCGCAGCGGGTATTCACAATGAAGGGATTGCCAGGGCCTCTCCCACTGATGTGGGTGATTTCTCAGAAGCCTTGGGAACATCCTTTCATTGGAGGGCAGTGTGAATCAACTCTTTTGTAACCCAGAGCTACCACAGTGTTTCGATCTAGCTGAAGGTCATGTACAATCTTGACAACTCTGAGAAAGTAGGACTTCACTGGTCAAATTCAAGTGGCCCAGATTTGTCTAGAGCTCTAGTAACAATTCTTGAGAAGATCTAGCCCCCTTGTCCACCAAAATGGAAAAGCAATCGTTTGCGTGTTTTAAATCTTCGCTGCAAATGCAAGCAGTAGTTCCAAGGGTGTGAAAACCTCACTAGGTCACGAATCAGTGAGTTTCGGTCATGACGTCTTCTGCCTCTAAAGTAGAATTCAAGCTTTATCTGGGCCTGTTTTCTACATCCCCACTGTAGTTCAAATAATGCTAAAGAAACAGAGCTTTATTGTATTTAGATGAGAGCTGGAAAGCTGACCTGGGCCCACAACCTTTCCTCCCTCCTTTATGGAATCTGAGTTTTCAGATAGTCTATCCACGGGATCATGTGTTTATTGTGTTAGCTTCCCCTTTCTTCATGCACCTCCTGCCATCCCACCTCCCACCCTTCCCCCAGTTACTCCCGTCTACAGCAACTAGATTGGTCTACTTTTCCCAAAAGGAGCCAGAGGAAGACCCTATGCTACCCTGCCATAGACATTTGGCATTTTGGGGAACTCACTATTTTTGAGTCTCTGCTGCCCCATCTGCCACTTATGTTTGTTTGACCACACGAGGCAGTAAATCATCTTCTAGTTCCCAAATCAGGCAGTGGGGGCGATGCCTTTCCGGGTCAAATATTTTTGCCCTGTTTGTTTGTTCTTGTTATTTAGCACTCTTTCTTAGAATATTCTGGACTTGGCTTCCTTTCTGGATTTTCTTACCCCCTTAGCTACTCCTTCCTGCTCAGTCTTCTTCTAGGATCTGTTGTGTCTACTCTTGCCTTCCTGACTCGTAGCAACCCGGTAGGACAGAGGAAGCGGTTTCCCAGCCCTGGTGCCATAATGCTTACATGTTGAACTGCTAACCACCAGGTCAGCAGTTCGAAACCACCAGTGGCTCCATGGGAGAAGATGAGGTTTTCTACAGTCTCAGAAACTCACAGGGGCAGTTCTGCCCTGTCCTATAGGGTCGCTATGAGTTGGCATTGACAGGATGGCAGTGAGTTTGGTTGGCTTTAGAGTATTTCCAGAATGGTAAAATTTGTAACTTATCTTCTACACTTTGTAACGTTTACACTTACCTTTACGGAAGCAGAATGCACATCTTTCCCTTCCCTGCAGAGCAGCTGCTGGATTCGAACTGCTGATCTTTTTGGTTAGTGGCC